AAAAAAAAAAAAAAAAAAAAAAAAAAAAAAAACGCTTCGTTCCCGTGAGTATCCTTGTGTGCACGAGTAGGAGACGACAAAATGGAAGAGCGAACGGACAAAGCGGATGGACGACGATGGAAACGAGACGAGATCACGGGGTTATGGGTCCAAGAGAGATCAAAGAACAACTTTCTCGAAGGAAGTCACACAATTCGGTAGAGGCTTGGACTCGTCCCTCTCGTTCCGACCTGTTTCCATTCGCCTTGTCGTTTCTGAATATCGTTTCTACTACACATATACGATATATTATTTCATACACGATATTTCTGCTCTCTGATCTTAAAATCATTTTTTTTTTTCCTTTTTTTCCTTTTTACGTTTTTTTTTTTACTTTCCCCCCTTTTCCCCGTATTTTTCCCTTTCTCCATGGTTGAATCGCGTATATATCAAGGATTCCCACGAGCAGGTCGAGACATCCGGGCTGATATCATCTCGTCCTTTCCGTTAAACGAGCGTTAAACTTAAAATAGAAGAAAATAAAAAGAAGATGACGATAACGATAACGATGACAATGATGGCGATGAGACGATGACGATGGTGATAATGATAATGATGATGATGATAATGGGAGGGGAGGGGGGAGAAAAAAAAATGAAGAAGAAAACGGCTCCGTTGGTCAGAAAATGACTGACGCTATGAATACGGTTAAGATTAATAATAACGATATTCAATATCGATGTAGTGATATTAATGATAACGTTAATAATTAATATTAAATTGTAGCGATAATAATAATAATAATAATATATATATATAATAATATAATAATATAATCGTGACGATTATGATAAAAAAAGGAAGAGATGATCGTTTTTAAAGAACGAGAGTAAGATGCCTAACGTGTCCTACGAACAGAAAAGAAACGCTTAAATAAGAAGCTGACGGAGAGGAAGGATCCGTCTAACGCGAGAAATGCAGTTTAAATGTTAAAAAAAAATATATATATATATATTTATGTATGTATGTATGTGTGTGTGTATATACGCGCGCGCGTGCGCGTGTAAAAAGAATAAAAAGAAGAAGAAGAAGAAGAAGACGAAGAAAGAAAAAAAAAAAACCTCTTCAAGTCGGTGGAAGAGTCCGTGTCCCTCTCCCTTAAACACATTCTCCTGTCTTTTCCATCGATATTATTAAATTAGAATAATATATATTTTTGGGTCCAACGCTCTTTGTTTGTCCTCTCTCTTGTTCTTCCTTCGCACGTGTTGTTCGAAACATCCTCGTACGCGTATACATCTCTTACAAAAGATTGCGAGGAAAGAAAGAAAAAAAGAAAGAAAGAAAGAAGAAGAAGAAGAAGAAGAAGAAATAGTAGTAGTAATAGTAGAAGAAAAAGAAAAGAAAAAGAAGAAGAAGAAGAAGAAGAAGAAGAAGAAAACAAAAAGAATAAAATACCAAAGAGTGGAAGGACCCAGGAGTCGGAAAGGAGAGCTTCCTTAGATCTTAAGATTGTCGAAGTCGGCGAGAGTGCTGCTGATCCTGTTGAAGACGGGGAGCCTGGACTCGGCGTTGGGCGACAACGGGGACGGCGTCCTCGGCGCGAGCTCGTCCGATCCCAAAGGACTGCAAACGCTGTTGGTTCGCGGGCTGGGGCTTTGCCTGGTCGCGAGAAGGCCGAAATCCTGGCCAAAGCTGAACGGCGTGGTGGGCAGGCTGGTGACGGACGGTTGTTGATTACAGTCGTCGCTGAAGAAACTCGCCATCGAGTTGGTGGGCGACTGACTGAGGCTGGACGACGGTGAAATCGAGTCCCCGGTGCTGCCTAGCGAGAAGGTCGGGCTGAGATTCAACGGTTTGGGCCTGGTGGCGCCGATCACCGAGCTCGCGCTCGTGGAACCGGTCTGATGATGGTGGTGATGGTGATGGTGATGGTGGTGGTGTTGACTGGTCGTCAAGCTCAACGAGTTGGTTCTGAGCAATGGCGGTGGATTGTACACGTTGCTCGAGTTGCACAAGCTCAACGAGTTGGTCCTCATGAGGTTGGGGGTGGTGGCCGCGGCAGCGATCGCCGTCACTTGGGGAGAGGCGACTATCTGCTCGAGCAACGACACGTTGCTGCTCGAATTCACGTTGGATCCGTTGCACCCGTTTCCGCCGGCGGCCACGGCCGCGGCCGCCGCCGCGCTCAACAATGGGTTTAGGCTTATTATGTTGGGCTGGGTGGATCCCAGCTGGGCGCTCACTTTTTGATTGTGGATCCGAGCCTCCTCGAAGTTGTGGATGAAATGGCAACGGGGCCCGTACGGGCAGAAACCGATCGTGTGAAACGTGCGGCACAGCTCGGTCTTGTATTTCGGGTGGCGGGCGAGGTTGCGCAACTCGCTGTACCCGTGAGCGAACTGACACTTGTCGCCATATTTGCAGGTGCCGCTTTCCTCGAATGGCCTGCACAACTCGGTCTTGTACCGGGAGGTCGGCTCGCTCGCGCTGCGATCCAGTTTACGGTGTTGCTCGATCAGGGTTGTTACCAGGGAGGTGTAGCGACGAAGTGGCGCGTGTCCCCCATTGTTCCCGCTCGAACCGTTGCTCGAGGTGTTTGTCGCGGATCCCGATGTCGCCTCCTTCGCCTTCGCAGATGCGTTCTGTAACACACCGATCCAAACTATATTTTTCACCTCCTTCTTTACGTCTCTACGTCAATACCTAATCCTACGTTTCCCTCCCTCGTCGTCCCTCGCTCTTTTCCTCCTTCTTTTTATCTTTTCTCTCCACGACAACTACTCTACTTCCCCGTAATTTTCCCTTTATCGTCGATATACATCCGATGTATCGTAATAAAAATCACCAGACATCAAGCTCAAATCGATTAAGAATTGAATTATGCGGAATTCGTTCGCCAGATTAAAAGAAACACGTGCGAAATATCTACAAAACGTGAACAATAAAATTTTCGTCGAAATTGCGAAATATCGTCAACCTTTAAAATTTAGCCCTATTTTAGCCTAGAAGTAAAATATTTCCAAAGGAACATTAATTTTTCCTTCTCTTCGTACGTTTCTTTCGAGAGAGAAAGAGAAAGAGAGAGAGAGAGAGAGAGAGAGAAGGTCTTATTTATCCCTTGGAGAGTAGCGTGGAGAAAATGAATCTACGTTTCGAGGAATCGAGCGACGTGGAGAAGAGACAGCAGCAACAGGAATCGATATTTTTAACGCGGATAGAGCTTGTTCGTATGTGACGTAACGAAATAATACCAAGCGTGTATAACAGATTTAAACGGTTTGTCGTCGAGATAATTATAAAGGCGAAGGCGGATTACGGTGGATCGCCGATACGATTGTGGTAATTCCGACGAATGCAGGAACAATACGCGTCATTTAACCGAAACTCCATCGCAGATATTACGATATTACTGATGATGGCTTACGCAACGCGATATAACCGCTTGGACGCGAACCCTTGACCAACAACGATCATTTATTTCTAATAGATTGTCCAATCAAGGAATACAGGAAACGGCGTGCACAATTGCTTTATTCGAACGTTAGAGGATTTCGAACGTTCCGATGAAACGCTTCGTTATCGACTTCAATTTTACGCCGTTTTGCGGCGAGCTGTTGCGGCGGTTTTGCGCGCAAATCGGAAAAAACGGAATTGAGTAATTCCGTGTTGTGAAAAATACGTTACAAAAATAAATCTCCTTTTCGATATTTCAATTGCTCGCTTATCACAGGCTAAATGTG